CAGAGGTGTGGGGCAGTCGGAGAGAGAGGAGGTTTCATTTTCTCCCACTGGTGCTCACATGTAGCGTGACTTGGCCTCAACTGGCATTGGCCACTCACCGCCACACCTGTCATGGGCTCCGACAACGTGGGCAGCGCGCGTGAGTGCGCCTCATCGGTGCGGGTCATGGGAATGAATTGCTTTTTGTGCTTTGCTCGCATATACATATGTGTATAAATGGAGGTGATTCATTTTCAGGGCAGGTGCTAGACAAGTTTGTTACAAAAGTGCTCAATTCGGCTAGCTAAACAGCCTCCACACCATGTGATAACAAATTACGAAGACCACGTATGGCCTCAAACTCTGCAACGGGCAATGGGTATACGGCATTCTATCATTTTCTTCACTGAGCATGCGCCTCAAAAGAATGACGCTTTTGCATCTGCGGCATTTGACAGACTGTGCTTCACAGGCAGGTAGCAAGCCGTTTAATTGACTTCTACAACGACCAGACCAGACGAAATCCGGCGTTTGTCAAGCCTAGTGACTAACAACAAGTAAAGTTCCTCACTAAAGTGCTTGTAGAGGTCAAACAGCAGTCAGTCGAATGCCATGTTTGAATGAATGCGAAGCAGTTAAAATTCGATGTCAAGATAACAGCAGTGCATCTCACTGCAGGATGTCAATCCAAAAGCTACACCTCCAAATCTGTATTCACAACCTCCTGCTGAACCTCCTCTAACAGATCTCACGACCAATTTGCATCCCACCTCAGTGGCAGCGGTATTAACAAGAATTCTCACGGTGACATCCACTATGAGATGATGTTTACCACAGAGTTTGATTTTACCTACTTAATGCCAAAAGTTGCACAAATTTATCGAAGCACTTATTCATGCTGCTTCTAAATTGTACAATGTCATTTGCAAAGTAATCACTGTGTAAACCGCATCCGCGCAAAAGTTTATCCAACTCTGGAATCCCCGCATTTGCTGCACGATGGTGTTTCTCATCTTCTGCTAAATATTATGCCGTAAAAGTGAAACTTGAACCCGTAGAATTTACGGATGAAGGTGACAGGAGCGAATTGAGATCGTTTAGTATCTGATATTAGTGCACACCTCTCATTCAAATCTTCTGACACACCCTTGGATTTCTGCTGTTCTGTCTTAATGAAATATCTGGTCATTGGACAGGAGGACTTTACTCGGTAAGAATGGCTTTTGACCTAACAAAAGACTTATGCACTATAAAAGGAAACGTGGTGCCCTTAATCTTGGCAAAATAATATATGCGGCAACTAACCAATTGTAATACTTACGCTGTTTTAATATACCTTTCAGGGAGGAGGAAAGCGGCAAATTGGGATCTCGTGATCGGATTGTCCTCTCCCGTACCTAGTGACCGCGGCTCCCCTCCTTCTTGAACATTGTATTTTTCCTCTCCATCTTGTCACCTTTAATAAATATGTCCAAAGCGAATCAACAGGGCTTGTCTGAGAACGTTAGGAATGGGGAAGCGGAGACCGCTGAGTCTAGCTCCACACAATAGATGAAGCGTTTTGTGGTAAAGAGAATTGGCAAAAACATAAAATAAATCCTGCATGTGCCTTGAGTAACAAAGTACTATTTCTCTCCCTCTCAAAAAGCTAGGCGGTCGTACACATCCTGCAAAAGAAGGTAAAGAATTGTGATCGCGGCCCAAACTACTCATCTTTAATCGAACGCTATCGTCTTAATAGCATAATTAATAATAGCATAATAGCATACCACACTCCCACCACTCCGTGTGAACACATTATTCGAAATCGCAAGTGTATTATATTTGACTTTCCTTGGCACAGTCGAGTAGATTTTATGGCATTTAGTTGCGGGCTTGCAGATCGTAGTGAAATGTGAGGCTTCGGTGATCGCAGTGTGGCCTTTACTTGGATGATACTGGCTTGACTGAGCAGGACTCATTTACGTTCCTCGAAAAAATTGTTGAAGCTGAGTTGGGCAAGTGTATTATTCTTGACTTCCATTGGGACAGTCGAGTAGATTTGCATCAAATTTTTTAAATATATTTGCAGCAAGATTTCAGGCTTAATTTTATTCAATATTCAGTAAGTGTTCCACCCATTCTATACGACTGCACCGACAGTGCACTGCACATACACCGGGACCCGATAAAAGAATGCACAGTCGTCCAGGCGTGAAATGGTGCGTGATTTGACTTGTAAAGTAGTGGGGTAGTGACTCGGCTGGGATAATTATTGAGTTAGCATTGGAATACAGATTCCTGTCATTACTAGTTTGGGAACGCGATACACAAGATACCGTGCTTTAGGGAAGAGAGGGCCAACAATTAGATCATCCTTGAATTTTATGTTGTTGCTTAATGCAAACGCAAGCCGGTTCTGCAATTCCTTCCTCCTTCCATTTGAGGCAGTTTTAAGAGGATGCTGCAATTCATATGAAATCGAAACAATGGTGTCGAGCCGTGCCATCGCGTATGGATTCCCAGTCCACAATCTCGACATTCAGTCCCGTCACGTAGACGGCTTCAACTAGCATGCCCCATTGACAAGCAATCCACTGTGGGTTAAAGGTGTATAAGAAATTAATCGTTCCATAAGCATGGCGATTCTATTGCAGCACAATCGTTTGAGGAGGCGGATGAGGAGGGGCAGCAGGCGAAAGAGATGGA